AGGAAAGGGGGCTGAAAATAACGTCGGATAACGATGTTTTCTTTCAATTTATCCGCGTCGATAGGCACGAGCTTGCGGCGCAGCGTAATTGCAAGGGTCGCGCTCTGTGTGTGTACACAGTGGACGTGGCCGCACGAGGCTACGTATCGCGAAATTCGTGGGCCCATTATCCTCTTTCACGGGCGCACTATGCATTAAGCACCGTGCACACAATCGCGGCTACGACCTTGCTGGTGACCGTGACCCTCTGCTCGTACGGGAGAACCATCCGCGCACCATCCGTGGTTCGCCACACTCGACGGCCCTGAGATCGACTTCCACACAACGTGCTCGCAGACTCGGGGGCTGTCGGCCGTTACTCACCTGTTTTCACCGTCGAACGCGCTCGGCTCTCTCTCTCCCCTCGGTCGTTTCTTGCTTCTTGCTTTTCCTGCGCTTGCTCCGGCTATTAAGCATCGTGCACACCGCCCTGACGACATCTGTTAATGGCCGATCGTTCGAAAAACACTCTGCATGTCCCGAGCGGAACAATCGCGCGAGTCTTTGGACCTGGCGTTTGTAAAATACTTTCCCGATACGTTGAGATATCGAATTTTTCCTCTCGATCGTTCCTTCCCCGCCTCGTCTCTTCCTTCCCGCTCCACCCCCTTTCTCCCGTTTTAACCGGATAGGTACCTATCCAACGACGTATCTTTGGAGCCGGCGCTCGGTTGGTTACGTTCAAGGTTGAATTTACAATAGCGCGTAGCTGCAGCCCCGTCTCCTCCGAACGCGCTTTTATAGGTAAACTACATTTATCCTTTATCCCGGCTCTGTTGCTCGTTCTGTTCTTGTATTTTCATATGCAATAAAGAAGCGTTATTATTATTATTATCCCCGGATGGATCCGAGAAATTGGAAGCGTGGGGAAGGGAGGGGGCGACGGGTAGTTTTCGAAGGGAAATTACACGGTTTAACGAGAAGTATATTCTCCCCTCGTGAATGCGATTCTTTTCGCGAGTGTAATGTCTCCCGTTTTTTTTTCTTTTTTTTTTTTTTTTTTTTCTTTCTTTTTTTACGATCTCCGTCGTTATCGGCATTGCCAGCCGAGGTCACGCGGATAAGCGATAATTTATACTAATACCTCTTAGCCAATCTTTTTGCTCGTCCTGCCAACTGACTATTAACTCTTCGTCGTTTGGTTGACTCGTCGTTTGGCTTCCTTCGAAAACGATCAAATTTCCCAGCGACGAAATTACGAAATTACGAAATTACGTCGGAAACGCAGGTGCAACGATCCAACGAAGTTGGAGAGAAAATGCGAGGCGAACTGTAGCAGCTTATCCGCCCGGCGAATTATTGTTTCCGCTTTCTCAGTTGATATTATCGTGACGCAACTCGATTATAATGCGGCCGTGCCTCCTCCGTTTCTTCGTTCCTTAACCGCTTGGTATCGAGTAATGTCCGCTCGTAGCGACGGAATAATAATGGGGCACGTTGCTTGCCACCAGTTACTGGCCCAGTAAATTCGCTCGAGCCGTAGCAAAAATGCGTTTTTCCACGTTTTCTCACGATCGATTAATTCTCGTTTTGCCCTGTCGGTCACCGATCTAATCCGACTCGTCTCTTTTCATAACTTAACCCGAGCGGGTGAACGACAATGCGGTGGTTTCGGTCGGGAAACGGTCGCAGAATTTCGAAACGACGCTCGACACGACGTGGCCAACCAGGCGGGCAATTAAGCCCGAGCCTTATTGGCGAGCGCATCGCAGGCGATCCACGCTCATTACCGTCGTCGTCGTCGTCGTCGTCGTCGTCGTCGTCGTCGTCGTCGCTGTTATTGTCGATGCAACTTGGCCACGCGGTGTACACACATACACACGCAGACAAAGAAAGACAGACACAGACGCAGATGGAGAGTAGGTATATACACGGAGTGAGAGAAGCAAGCATTCGACGAGCTCGGCGACGGGCAAAAGGATCGGAACGGGCAAGAAAGCCAACGCGAAGGAACTCGAACTCGAGCGCGCGCAGGGTTAGAAGAGAAAAGGGAACGCCGGACAGTTGCTGCTGGTACACCGCACGGCCGCTACGTGCTTTTATTGCGAGAGGATGTTGCCCGATCACGTCGATTGACGCGTGTAGTTTTATTCCCTGTAATAATCGTTAAGACCCTCTCGCGTCTCTATTATAGACGCGAGAGACCGAGTCGACGGACGAGCTTTTTGCCCGTCGTTAATTGACAAGTGTATCGAAAAACGCGGCTCGAAAGACCGGCCAACGAATAAGTATATTAGGAAAAGAGGGTCCTGTGCTCGTGATTGATAATCATCGTTGCTGCTGTTGCTGAGGCTTGTGCGTCTTCGCCACGAGTGTCTCCGTAATTGGAAATACA